TGTTCAATTTCTGGAGATGGAGTGGTCCTCTTTTCCTGGTTCAGCGGGGGAGACAAACACATGGAGATACCCCTTATAAATGTACGCATCCCTTACAAAAGGGTGACTTCTACTGTGTTTTCAGAGCTTCTCCTATGCGTGCTGGTCCTTTGAAATACCTACCTCAAGACAGTCCTTCTGCCAAAGAGGTATATTTGAGGGTGGCAAATTCTGCTCCCCTGTGGCAATGTAGAGAGCAAAATGGAGTCTCTCACGTCAGGCGGGCCTCTGTCAAGCAGTGATGCAGACAGACAAAGTAGTGCAGCTGGGAGACAGCGCCAGGACCCACGTCAGCTGACGCCAGAGGCCTGCGGAGACCCACACCCAATTCAGTCCCTTTACGCAGGGAAGGATTCTGCCAGAACACCGTGGGACTCTTCAGGCCCCTCTGTGTCCGACCACTTAAAAAAGGTAACTGCCACCAAAGGCTGTGCCTGATGGATCTCCAGACAGAACCGAGAACCTTCCCTGCTTGAACATCAGAGGCAGTGAGTGCCGGGAGCTGACCCAGACCAGATCCGGACGTCATCTCAACCGCACGCCCATAGACTGACTTCATGTTTGGGTCCTTAATTTCCTAAGCCTTTCTAATCCTGTTTGTCATGTGGCTTGTCTTCTGTCCTGCTTTGTGTGCTCTGTAGGCAGCCAAGTTTGATGACAGGGTGAAATGTCATTGAGTCTAGAATCCTGAACCTGCTTTATAATTGTGATTTAGGGGTACGGGGTGGCTCAGTGGGTTAAGCCTCTGCCTTCGGCTCAGGTCATGATCTCAGGGTCCTGGGATCGAGCCCTGCATTGGGCTCTCTGTTCAGCAGGGAGACTGCTTCCTCCTCTCTCTCTGCCTGCCTCTCTGCCTACTTGTGATCTCTGTCTGTCAAATAAATAAATAAAATCTTTTAAACAATTGTGATTTAACTTTGCTTTATGATTGACTAACGCTGACATTGTGGAAAGACACAACTCATGTGTGCGTCTCCACAGCATGCTTATGACAAGTATGGAAATGCAAAGAAGCACCCCAGAGAATCCCCTGGGTTCCAGACATAGTGTTCGCTGACTCCGTTGTATACCGACAACCCACTTGCTCCTTCATACTCAGAATCAATCACTTCAGCCAGACCCCATTCTCTGCCTTCTGGTTCAATGGCCAAAGGACTACCAGGTGGTGAACTATCAGTTCAATTAAATCTCATTTAATTCAATGGAACTATTGTATTTCTGCATGAAAACATTCTTCCCCTGAGAACTAAGACCTCCAAGCCAGCAGATCATAAAGTTGCTGGGACAGGAAGCAATACTTCTGGGAGCTGGTTATTAGGTATAAGAGAGAGAGGAGCCACCTCCACTTCTGTCTGTGGGTTCCTGGACAGACCTGTAGCCGTGGGAGAGACAGCAGCCCATACTGATTCAAAGCATAACTGCATCCTGTAAGACAGAAACACATCTTTTCATGGATCTGTCTCACAACTGCCATAATTAAATCCTCAGTAAGCTTTGAGGGGCCAGCCCGTACTGGGTGATGGGATATGTGATAAGACCCATCATCTCCAAGGGCATGAGCCCCATTGCTGCACTTCTTTTGCTATGAAATGAGCACTTTTTCCAGAAGTGAAGATGTGCACGATGTCACGATGGTGGATAAGGCATTTTGCAATGGATGGTGGTTCTGGCAGATGCATTATGGTCGGGGAATACAAATCCATATCGCTAGTCATATCCATATGTAGATATCGCCATAGAATACATACGTCTACCCCGGGGAGGCTGATGACAGAGGTTTAGTGTTACCAGGCGGCCACCAGGTGGCTGGCTATCCCCACTGGTAAATACTGGCATATTAGGGACTCACTGTTGATCTCTGTTGTTGGCTGAGGCATTCAGTGCTTGCCGCAGCCAGGACAGACTTGGTGAGGTGAAGTCCGCGTTGTTGAACTCCATCCCTGCCGCCATTGCCATTTCGTTCAAGGGCCACTGAGCGAGCCCTGGGATGGTTGCAGAAACTAACTGCTATCCAGAGTGTCTCACTTGACCTGCTTCATCACTGAACACTTTCTCTGTGATGGATGCCCTTTGGTGAGTTTCCAAATGGAGCACAAGTATCTTTATAGCCTGTGCCCACTCTTTTATTTTTTAAAAAACTTTATTTATTTATTTAGAGAGCATGAGTGGGGGGGAGGGGCAAAGGGAGAGAGAGACTCTCAAGCCGACTCTGCACTGAGCACCAGAGCCCGACGTGGGGCTTAATCTCAGGACCCTAAGATCTTGACCTGAGCCAAAACTTGAGTTAGACGCTTCAACAAAGCCACCCAGGCGCCCCTAACCTGTGCCCCGCAGAACTCTTCCCCAGACTTTCTTGTCACCAGTCTCTCAGTCTTCTTCCTTCCAAGTTCCTGGCCATTATCCACTTAAAATTTTATCAACAGTGCATAAATTAATACAGAGACACAATTCTGGCGAGCTCTCATTCAGAAAAGTAAACAGGTGAATGTACCACTTTAATTCTCTTCAGAGGAAGGATTTTCCTTCACGGCTGTCCTTCAGGGTCACCTCTGAGCGGGGCTGTGGGACTGTAGGTATCCCCCTTCGGACGACAGTACCTCCTGTTAACCAGGCCTGAGTCTTTCCTTCCTCAGTCAACTGATCAGACAGAAACTTCCCATGAGGCTGTACCTATGGATTCAGGGGGAAGAGGCAATGGAGCAGGGGCTAAGGGCTCCTGGAAATGTCTTTCCTTCTGCTTGAGCCTGGTGTCTTATGTCACTTCCATCTTATGAGACTAAAGCTGCTCATGCCCAATTTTATGGTTTGGTGGGTCAGATAAAACCCAGTTTATCATGGGAAACTCAGGCCTGATGACTCACGTTCAGGCATTCAGTCTTTTCCAGGCTCAATAGCAAGCCAGGTCTGTTTTTCAAAAGGATGATAGTGATCTATACAAGAAGGCAGAAGATCTGCTCGAAAATCCTAGACATCTCTGCTATGATTTTCTTAGTGGCGTTTGCCAGAAGATCACAGATAATTCCTCTATTTGTCATAGACAAATAGTGCCATTATCTGCTGGATCACAATGCCGAGTGGAAGAACAGCTTGTACTACTCTAGATTTCTTTTATTCCAGGCTCCCAGAAAAACTGGCAGCCTTACCTGTGACTTGGAAAATGGGTTGAAGTAGCGCACACAAATGTGCTATACGTTGCTCCCAGTACCCTTTGACCAACACCTCCCCATTTCCCCATTTCTCAGCCTCTGCAACCACCAATCAATTCTCTGTTTTTGTGAGTTTGGGTTTTTTAAACTCTCTCTATAAATGAGACAATACAATATTTATTTTCCTCTGTCTAACTTATTTTACTTAGTATAATGCCCTTGGTGTTCATCTATGTTGTCACAAATGGCAGGATTTCCTTCCTTTTTTTAAGGTGGAAGAATATTCCATTGTATATAAACATTACATTTTCTTTACCCATTTATCCATTAATGAGCACTTGGGTTATTTCCATGCCTTGGCTATTTTTTTTAAGGATTTTATTTATTTATTTGACACAGATCACAAGTAGAGAGGCAGGCTGAGAGGGGGAACCAGGGTCCCTGCTGAGCAGTGAGCCTGATACGGGACTCAATCCCAGGACCCTGGGATCATGACCTGAGCCAAAGGCAGAGGCTTTAACCCACTGATCCACCTAGGTGCCCCTGCCTTGGCTATTTTGAATAATGTTTCAATGAACCTGGGGTTGTAAATATTGAGATAATGACTTAATTTCCTTTGGATATATACCCAGAAATGGGATTGCTAGTATATAAAGTATCCTATTTTTAATTTCTTGAAAAAGTTTCCTTTTCTTAATCAAAATTCCACTGACCAGCCTTACCTGTTATTGATGACTCCCACCTTAATGAGTCACCTCGCTGGTGATTGCCAACTGCTGATGCTCTATTTTCCTCATTTTTTTTTCTTTTTTACGTTTATTACATTTACGTACCCCATCTCCCAGTCATGCTGGCTCTGTGCTACTGCTCCTGTTTGTGACATTACCCTACAACATTCTTGGCTACTAGCCCATTGGCCTTTTCCTCTTCATGGCTCTCAACCTTTCTCACCATGGAGAAATTCACTCATGTCATTGACCCCATGCTGATTTCTCCACTCTGGCAAGGGAAAGGCAAGGATGGAATAGGAAAATGGAAAAGAAAGTGCCTATGTATGACTTTAATAAGTGGAACTGTGGGAAGACTGTATCTTAGGTTGAGGGTACTGCCCAGGTATAGATATATTTTGAGAACATTTAATAGGTGAGTATGGTACATCAGGCATATGTAATGAGAGGGGAGTTTACCACTGCTTCAGAATATATAATGTATTTTTGTTTACTTGCTTACTGGTTGTCTCTCCCTTTAGCATGTAAGTTCCGTGAGAACAAAAACTTGGACTTGTCCACTCCTGTTATCTTTGGTGCCAGAAACAGTGCCTGGCAAACGTTAGATACTCAGTTATTCTTTGTTAAATGCACGAAGCTCAGACAAGTAGTTTGCACCCATATTTTGGAGGTCAGAATAAGCAGACTGAATTTAGTTGTCTTGGACAGGGAAGGCTATCAAAGTCTTTATAGCAGGATAGTAAAACATCCTGAGTGTTAGTAAGATACCTTTAGGGACCATGGGAACGATAGATTAAAAAGACAAAAATTTGGAGGCTTGTAGTAATTTTAGGAAATGTTTATTGTCTATATTTTGTGAGATACTTGTTTGAAAATATAATGATTTTTATTTTTATGTTGTGTTTTAAAAGATTTTCCAAATGTATAAAAAGAATTTCTGTAAAACGTGTTCTAGGAAAAAAACCTGCGACATGTACAATTTGTTATCAATAATAGTTGTCATCCAAGGCGCCTGGGTGGCTCAGTGGGTTGAAGCCTCTGCCTTTGGCTCGGGTCATGATCCTAGGGTCCTGGGATGGAGCCCCGTGTCAGGCTCTCTTCTCGGCGGGGAGCCTGCTTCCTCCTCTCTCTCTGTCTGCCTCTCTGCCTACTTGTAATCTCTGTCTGTCAAATAAATAAAGAAAGAAAGAATAGTTGCCGTCGTTTGAAGGTATCAAAAACATTTTCCCTGAAATTTTATGTAATCACCACTTACAAATTGGTTTTCTCTTATTTCTTATAAACTGCTTTAAAACATATGTTTTAAAACTTTTATTATAACTGGTCATATGATTCATCCATTTCTATAGTGTACTCCATTATCATACTTATTTTTAACATAAATTATAATTTAGTGGTAGTTTTCACACATGATTTTTGAAAATGGTTACAAATCAAAGCTTTAAATGTTGACGATCTTTCTAGTTAATTACTATATCTTAGTCTTAAAAAAATTCGATATGGGGGTGCCTGGCTGGCTTAGAAGAGCTAACAGCTCTTGATCTTGGGGTCGTGAGTTTGAGCCCCATATTGGGTGTAGAGATCACTTAAATAAGTAAAAAGCTTTAAAAAAATTAAAATTAAAAATTCAATACAATTTATTGAGAGGACTTTGTGGGTCAAGACTCTGTAGTGTGTGAGATGTTACCCTACATATAAGCTAACAAGTTTGCTTGTCTCATGGCCGTTAGCAGAAGACCCAAGACTCCTGGGTCAAAAACAAAAGATTTTATCATCATCGCAGAAACACTATCCAGACCTTCGTATTCATTTGTGTTGATTTGCCATGCATCTCAGTGCCACGAGGGTGACATCAAAGACCCGTCATGGATACGTATACACTCAGAGTGTTGCATTAAAGGAAGGGATCCCTGAGCTCCCCACTTTCATAGTAAAGAGTACCAGCCTGCTTCTTGGCAGTAGAAAGGCATTACCTCATCCTTGAAGGTTGCTCAATGCAAACACAATTCTGAGAATGGCCTGTGTAAAGAATGGTCAGGATTTTGCATTCTTGGCATATGCAGAAGGAATGTGCAGGGCCACTCGGGGTCTAAGGAGATTGCCTCTTCCAACAGTAGTCTGATAGTGAGAAAAAAAAAAAAAAATGTAGGCTCCTAAAATGAAATTAGAGCAAATCTAAAATAGAATTTTCTGTGGAAAAGCACCAAAAATATTAGTTGAAACTGAGATATATACAACGTTACTGCTGTTCCCTGCCCGTTGGATAACTCTACTGATGAGCTCTGTTAAGGGGTTGATATTGATGAATGTATAGAAGATTAGTTGAAAACTGAGTGGGGCTAATCGAAAATCATTATATTAAGTGTTAAACATTAATATAAATTTAAACTTAGTCTTTCTTGGTTGAATATGACTATACTTCAATAGTTTTTTACAAACATGATGAAAAAATGATGATACTTCAGAACACCGTAGTTGAAAGTGACAACTACCTCCCCAGCACCGACAAAAGTTAGCATTTCTTGAGGACTTACTATGTGACATGCATCATTCCAAGTACTTCTAGATATCAACACAATAATCCTGACAATATCTATGAAATAGGGACTCTTGTTTTTCACAAGAGGAAACTAAGGCACAGAGAGGTTACATAATTTACACAATGTCACATAGCTAGGGTATCGGCATGCTTTTAGCTCTGATCGACAGAAGCTCTCACGTTGGTGCATTTATTATATGACATTGCAGGAAGGCCAGAGGTATGACAGGTTTTAGAGCTAGTTGAGTCAATAGCTAAACAAAGTTGTTAGTCAAAATTATTTCTGTATTTTTGTTTGTTTTAAAGCTCATCATCTATGTACTGGCTTTGCCCTTTGGCTGGCCCCACTTGTGGTCACCAGATGGCTGTGGCACTACTTGTGGTCACCAGATGGCTGTGGCACTTCTTGGCATCACTTTCACACATGACAATGTTCAGAGTCACAGAGGAAAACTCTCCTCCAATGCCCCTGTGTAGGAGCATGAAAAGCTTTACCCCAAGCCCCCCCAAAGATCTTTCCTCATGCCATTCTTGCCAGAACCAAGTTCCATATCCACCGCTGAAACAATCTACCCAGAAGAGTGGGATTTTTCTGGTGGGCTGAGACCAGACAAGAGTTACTCTTGGCACTTGGAATAGGATCACCCTGCCCTGAATTCTGTGGGACGTAAACCTGAGACTCTGCCAGCAAATAAAAAGGAGAGAAAGGGTTGCATGGGGTGCTCCCATCAGGTTCTGGTCCAGCTGATCAGCAGACAAGGGAAGAGAGAAGCACACTCTGTCTTCAGAGCCTGCACTGAAAATCTGCTAATTCTTTTTTATTTTTTTAAGATTTTATTTATTTGAGGGGCACCTGGGTGGCTCAGTGGGTTGAAGCCTCTGCCTTCGGCTCAGGTCATGATCTCAGGGTCCTGGGATCGAGCCCCGCAACGGGCTCTCTGCTCAGCAGGGAACCTGCTTCCTCCTCTCTCTGCCTGCCTCTCTGCCTACTTGTGATCTCTGTCTGTCAAATAAATAAATAAAATCTTTTAAAAAAAAGATTTTATTTATTTGAGAGAGAGAGAGAGAGAGAGATGGTAAACCAATTCTATGTGAATGTAAATAACATTTAAAAGAAAGTGAAGTATATTTTTCAAAACAAAAACTCCAATGAGTATAGTGTCATTGCTTTATATGTTTGTACATCTTTATGACACCTGACTTAATGCATGATAGCTGAATTCTCGTATCTGCTTCTACAATTCATGTCATAACCTGTCGCTCCTAGAAAACTGCCCTGAACATTTGTGAGAGCACGATAGTGGAAAAGGCAAATAAAATATTAATACCGTTATGAAAATAATTTTGACCTTGTGGGTTCCCTGGAGGAGGATCCTGGAACCCCAGGGGTCCTCAGGCCACACTTTGAGAACCACTACCTTAAAGTATTTTTGCTTGATATGCCCATGCATAACCTATAATGGCTCTGAGCAGTAGCCCAGGTAAACCAGTAGAAGGATATTAAAAGGAGGCTCAAATTGATCATATCTCAGAAAATGGAAATAAGATGAGTTTCAGAGCAATATGCCCCAGGGCAGGGAATTGGAAGGGAAAACCCCAGATCATAAGCAGCCAATCTGAGCTTTCCTCATTTTACCAGTCCCTTTGAATCTTTAAATAGAATATGATTTACACAAAAATCTGTGCAATAACACATATTTTAAAGGAAATGGCTATTCTATAAAGCACTTTTACTCTCCATTTTTTTTCCAGACTTACTATTTCAGATGATTTGAAGGTTGGCTTTTTCTGCACAGACCATGCTACGCAGACAGATTCCAGCGAAATTCTGCCCTTAAAAGAGTTGAGCTCATCTACAGAAAAGCTAATACGGGTAAATCTGAATTTATTTTCAAACTTCTGAGATTATTTTGGGTATTGTTTGCCTTGATGTCTCTTTCCTTCACAGAACTGAAATGACTAAAAATTTTTAAATTCACAAGCTGAATTGGATGACAGTCATGTTTTTAAAAAATAATTTGTATCAACTACTGCTTGTATTTATATCATGCTTATATGTATTAACTGGTTTAGTGAAATATGTTGTTACTCTCTTTGGAATTTTTTGATATCTGTGAACATTTTCTATTTATGGTACTTTAGAAATTATGAAATATTTTTGGATTGTAGAAAAATGTGGAGAGTCATATAGTGAATCACTGTGTTGCCCAGCATACAGCTTTGTCAAATCTTGACTGTCTACCATATTTCCTCTGGATATTTTTTGACTGTAAAGAAATAGAACATTTCATATACCTCAGATATCAAGAGTTATTAAAACCCCTAATCAATAAAACTGTCACATGGGATAGCATACTACTATAAATACTCTTGTGTACTTTGTTTCTGTTTCTTCACTGAACAGCGTAACTTGAATATCAGTCCGTATTGGTAGTTTCCTTGTCATTTTCACAAGTATATCCTGTAATAAAATGTGCTTCGTTTATTTAGCCCTCTCCCTATTAATGGGCATTTTGGTTGTTTCAAATCTTCTACTGTGATAAAGAATTCTGTACATGCTCAGAGGCCATCCAGTCTGTGGCATAAACTTAGAAGTGGAATTTCTGAGTCAGAGGATGTATGCATTAGTCATTTTGAGGGATATTGCCAAATTGCTCTGCGCAGAGATTCTACCAATTTACACCCCCACCAGTAACTTCTGGAAGCGTCTCTTTTCTTACATACTTGCCAGTTTGTTGCCTTTTCTAATAATACCTTCAGAAAAGTTTTGTAACTTTATTTTCTTGCAGCTGGTCATGTCCAAATGGCTAAGTTCTGGGCAGTAGAATTGGATGGAAATATTATGTGGCAGCTTTGGAGAACCTTCTTTAAGAAATGGTTTACGTGCACTTGCCTTCTGCTGCTTTACTTCCTCTTTCTCTTCTCCCTTCCTCCCATCCTTCTTTCCTCGCTCCCTCCCTCCCTCACTTCCTTTCCTTATTTCTGTGCCTAGAACACTGATGCTATGTAGATGTATTAATCCTCACTCATATCTTTATTTCTAGTTCATAAATTTCCTATCTTTATTTTTTAATTTATTCTACTATTTTGGTTTCACTTTGTTTTCCTTTTTCTGATTCCTTGAGTTGGAGCTCAGTATCAATTAGGATGTCATACAATTCTATTTTTAGGAAATATAACTATATTGGTTTAATCAAATACAAAGTCACTTAGAAATAGGCATCTGTAGTTGGGGCAGTAGCTCTCTGTTGTCCTCTATGTGCCAGACTTGTTTTATCTTTCTAAATCTCCATTATTAGTGCGTGGCTTTTGCTTTCATTTTTCTGACCTCAGAGTAGCAAGATGGCTGCTCCGCTCCCAGCCTCCATCTGCATTTCACACAGGAAGGAGACTATGAGAGAAGTAAAGGGGGAGGTGGTGACCATGGTAGGAAAGCAGGAACTTTCCATAGAAAACCCCAGTTTATTGATCATTGGCCCTAACTATATCACTTGACCACCTCAACAGGAAGGAGTTCTAGAGTAGTGAGCAATTTAGTTAGACGTAGTTCTGTCCAAAGTCCCAGTCCTCTCAGTAAGGAAGAACCAATGTAATGGATCATGGGTTTGGATAGTGGGTTGTCAGCTCCCAGTGCCTACAGTGCATCATTTCTGTGGCCCCTCTTTTCTTTTATAAGCATTTACAGTCTTGTATTTCCCCCAAAATACTTCTTTACCTTCACCCCACAAATTTGGAAATGTAGCATTTTGTTAGTATTCATAATACTAATTATTTTTATTAGTTATTGCTTTTAATATTGATTAGTATTATATTGAAATGCTCTAACATTTTCCAAGTATGCTTTTCAGTTATTGTTATGTTGTTGATTTTTAAAGTCAGTCTTTTGTTATCGGTGAAAACTCTTTGTGAGACAAATTATTTGGTGTCTGCAACTTACACTGAGGCTTTGTGTGAGGTCAGTCTTTGTCATTGTTCCCTGGATATGGGAAATTAAAAATAATCTGCATTCATTCAAATAGTTCAGAATGTATATATATGTAAGTGTATATATGTACATGTCCATATATATGTATGTAAATGTATTTATTTTGCCATTCTGTTCAATACTAATATCCTTATACCAACATTCTTTGGCATAGTGTTTGCCTGATAAATCTTTCCTGTCCTTACACTGACCTCATTTCTGTGTTGCATCCTTGGTATTTCCTTTACAGATTATAGATAGTAGGTTTAAAAAGCACCCAATCTTATAATCTTTTCCAATAGCTAGTTTATTCTCTTAATATTAGTTGTGATTACTAATCTATTTTTATTTTTCTGCCAACTTATTTTGTAATTTCTCTTACCTTCTTCTTTAATACTTCTTTTTTTCTCCCTCCCTACTTTTCTTTGGATTGATCAACTTTCTTTAGTTCCTATTCTCTCCTCTATTGGGAATTAAGTGAATCATGTTATCTATCTATCTATTTTTTTAAATTTAATTTTATTTTTTCAGTGTTCTAAGAGTCACTGTTTATGCACCACACCCAGTGCTCCATGGAATATGTGCTGAATCATGTTATCTTTATTCTTTTAATGGTTGCCTCCAGTTTGAACATGTGCACTTGGTTTTACAGTGTGTGGACGTAGCCAGAATTTCTAATTTCTGTCAAACAATGCAAGAAACTTACTTTTATCTGTAATCACCCCCCATCTTACATGTTATTATTCTCAAGTATGTCAGTTCTACCTTTTTTCCTAATATTTTTTGCAGTTATCTATTCATATCATTATTTTATACACTTAATATTTGTTTTGATTTGCTCACATTTGCTAATTTCTTTCTCACCATTACTTCCTGTATCTCTTATTACTTTTGAGTTTAATTTTCGTTCTTCCTAAAGATCCCTTGATTCTTCTTTCAGCAAAGAGCATGGTCTACTTAGTGTTAGTATTGTACAACCTCACATAACATATAACACCCTTGAAATTGTATGTATCTGTTTACCGCCCTCCCCTGTCCCTTACGCCATGGTTATTGTATGTATTATATCTACATACATTATACACACAGCTTATAATGTTTGCTTTAAACATTCTTATACATCTTACGCTAATAAGAAGAAAAACCAGTCTTTTACCTGGATATATACTATTTCCAATGTTCCTCATGTTTTTCTGAAAATCTAACTTTCCAGTCTATAATAGTTCTTTTTAGTCTGATTCTTTAACAATTCTCAATTTAGGCAATGAGTTCTCATAGTTTTCCTTATTTAAAATGTTATATTGATATGGGATTCTAGATTGATAAGTATTTTTTTTTCTTTTTGCTATAGTATTGCTCTTCTGACCTCCTTGGTTTCTAATAAGAAAAGTTTAATCATTCCAAAAGTTATTCCCCTGTATGTACTTGTTTTCTTTCCTGACTGCTTTCAAGATTTTCTTTTGGGGGTGTCTGGTTTTCTCAGTCAGTAAAGCATGCCACTCTTGCTCTTGAGGTCATGAGTTTGAGCCCCATGTTTTGTGTAGGCGTACTTAAGAAGAAAAAAGATTTTCTTTTTATCTTTGATTTTTTTTTTTTTTTGACAGACAGAGTTCACAAGTAGGCAGAGAGGCAGGCAGAGAGAGAGAGAGAGAGGGAAGCAGGCTCCCTGCTGAGCAGAGAGCCCAACGCGGGACTCGATCCCAGGAACCTGAGATCATGACCTGAGCCAAAGGCAGCGGCTTAACCCACTGAGCCACCCAGGCGCTCCCCTTATCTTTGATTTTTAACAGTTGAATTATTATGTACCTAGGTGTGATTCATATGTATTTATCTTGCATGAGGTTTGTTTAGCATCTTGAATCTTTATTTTTTTTATCATATTTGGGAGCTTTTTGGTATTATATCTTCAAGCATTTTTTTCCTACCCTACTTTTTGTATCATCTCCTTCTGCAACTCTAGTTACTTGCATGTTAATACCTCTGAGTATGGACTTACATATCCCCAATTTCTGTTCACTTTTAAAATTTTTAGAAATTATTTTCTCTCTTTTGTTCTACTGATTTATCTTCAAGTTCATACACTCTTCCCCTTTGTCATCATTATTCTTTTTTTTTTAAAGATTTTATTTATTTGTTTGAGAGAGACAGAGGGAGAGAGCACAAGCAGTGGGAAGAGGCAGAGGTAGAAGCAGACTCCCCTCTGAGTGGGGAGCCTGACATAGGACTCGATCCCAGGACCTGGAGACAAAGACCTGAGCTGAAGGCAAACACTTAACCACCTGAGCCACCCAGGTGCCCCGTCATCTTTATTCTTCTATTAAACTACTCCAGTGAATTTTTAACTTCAGACATTTTAGTTTTCAACTCTTGAATTTCTGCTTGTTTTCTTTATTGTAGTTTCTATTTCTCTGCTGATACTGCCTATTTTTTCCCCATTTGTTATAAGTTTAAATGTTCTTGACTTCATTCTGCATAGTTAAAATAGCTGCTTTAAAATCATTGCCTAATAATTCCAACATTTGGGTAATATTGGTTTTGGTCTCAATGATCTTTTTTGGGGGGACTGAATCACATTTTCCTGTTCTTTTTTTTTTAATCAGATATTTTGAATTAAACCTTGGGTACTGTGAATGTTATGTCCTAACTTCTGATATTTATGTATATATTCCCCCGAAGACTGTTGATATCTTTGTTTTAGCACATAACAAACTTGTTTGGATTCCAACTATAAATGTTTCTTGGTTGACAGCCCAAATCTCATTGGGCTGCTTGCAGTCTCTTCCATGTATGTGTGTTTAAGGGTTATGTTGAGGTTTGTTCTGAGTTCATATACAGACTTTTCACTCCTTCTCTTTGGTTCTTTTCTTTTTAGGAACCCCACACAATTACATTCAGTATGTGTGATTGCTCTGTCTTTTTACTACTCAGACCATAAAGGCCAACGATTTCTAGTTGAGGTTTGGCTGCCTTGTGAGGTCATTCAACTCAGCTGCTCAAGCAGGCATCTCACCCTGCATCAGTTCCTTCCTCCGACTTTTGAATCCCCTCCAGAATCTCCTGCTTCTGTTTATTCTCCAGAATAATGATTGTGTTTTGCTCATATTTTATCTAGAGTTTATAGTTCTGTGGGAGTCTCGCTTCCAGTGGAGTTTGTTTGACCACACAGGATTTCTCTGCCTCCGTTCCTCAGAACATGCAGTCCACACACGACTGGGTCTTCTAAAGGCAAAGTCATCTCTGCCTGTTCCTGGAAATTAAGGAATTCCTTAAGATTTCACTTGTTTTCAAATATTTTTAAAAATAATTTCTAAACATAGTACCCTTCATGAGTTGACCACATGGTATAAAAAATAGTTATAACTATTCAAACCTGGGCCTTCCATTTCTAGTCCTATGATATTGGATTAGATAATCACTTAACCACTGGAAGTCTTATTATCCTCATCTGCAAAATAAAATGTTTGCTGTAGTTTCAGGATACTAAAATGAGATTCTTTCCAGGATGCCAGTACACCAGGTCTCAAATTTCAAAGTGAGTTTGAGTTAGGTTCCATTTGCAGGATTTGCAAAAGGAATGTTGCGTTAGATCAATGACTCTTGGCTTTTGAAATAGTCAAGGATAATCAAAATAAAGGAGTCAGGAGGTGAAGAGGAAAAATTACTGAGGTGATCAAGAAAGCATTATTGCTCTGCTCTTTATATAAGAGTTACCAGAAGCAATCCTCCTCAACTCAAAGCTAGTAAGGCAGGCTTTATGGAACCTGAAGTATGTTTGCTGCTTTTGGAAAACATAGCGGCCTGGTGCTGACCTGTACTTAAAGAAGCTAAGAAGATGAAGTGGCTAAGTTGGGATCATTCTATATTTCCAGGGTTGTTGGGGTGAGGAATGTATGATTGTTTCCCAGTAACAACATGTGGCCTATGAAAGAGGAAGAGAGAGAGAGAGTAAGTGCCTCGTCATGGGGTCATTCTGGGCACTATCCAATAGAATGATCTAAAAGGACAGAGGACCCCAACAGTAGGAAGGAGGAAAAAAAAAAGAGTTCTATATTCATAGGGCCTGAGGAAGGAGTAGCAGTGATCACCCAGTCTTATTTTGAATGTGCTTAACTCATGGTAATAATATTCTAAATTCTACCTTGAGGCTGTGTTTGGAGTGACAGTAGGATTTATATTCCCAAGAATGAGCAGAAAAGTCATGGAATTGACTAAAGTTCCCATTCAGGGGAAGATTGCCTAGTGAATACATTTTAAATAGATGGTGGAAGACAAAAATACATTGTATGTTTTGGTGATCAGAAATGATTCTTAGTCAACATGCTGGTTATATATTAAAGTGCTTGGCTAGTAAATTCACAACAAATGTTGATTTTTGCCTATCTATTCTGATATAATATCCACATCTTAGACTATACCTTTTGAGGTATGATAAAGTGTTGTTGTTAGCCCAGATATTTTATTCTGCATGGGAAGAAACCACCAGGAACCTTCTCTCCCTTACTCCATTAGCATATGTTAATTTAGCAGATTAACTGGGGTTCTCCAATGTACATCATATTCCAGAGGTGTTCTTAAAAGGCAGGGCAGGCCCCTGACTACATTCAGGTCATAGGCCCATGTTGGGGAGGAAAAAAATTTTTCTTTACCTTTGAACATTCTTATAGCTGGTCTAAGATTCAAATTGACAAGAGACAGATTAACAGGAGAAAAAAACTTAGTAACATGTATACCTCCTGAATACATATGAGAGACCGAGGAAAACGGTCTCTCACATGTATAAATCTCTGAAATGGCCTTAATTACTACTTTCAACTAAAGACAAAAGAAGATGTTGGGGGAGGAGGGGAGCAGTTATGGGAGGTTCTGAGGAAAAGCACAATAAGCAAGGTTTATTGTTTATGCATATGGTTATGTAGACTTAAATCAGCATAGGACTTTCTAGAGATTTTAAGTCATCCCCCTCTTGCTGGTATAGCTAGGGAGGCACCCTTACAAGTGGAGATTTCCCTTCTAAATGTAAATGTCTCTTATGAGAGGGTAACTTCTACTCAGTTTTGGAGCTTCACCTGTGTTTGCAGTTTCTTAAAAATAATCAGTCTAAAATAATCAATATGCCAAAGAGACATGTCTTAGGGTGGCAAAATTTGCTTCTCTAAACCCAGAACCAGGCAATGTACTAGAACCTTCACACAGAGTGCCCTTACTCTCTTCAATAATGTACGTTTTTCCAATTTCAGATTATTAGATCCCTTCAAGTGGATTTTGGGTTCCTCAAAGAATTGCTTCAGTTGAAATTTGAGGACCGTCTTAAAGAAGAGTCTTTTAATCTCTTCACTGCTCTACATGACAGGATCCTAACAATTGAAAAACATTATCAAGAGGTACATGTTCTTTCATTTCCTTTGTTCTATATGTGGATTGATCTTGTGCTTAGATTGGTATGTACTACAGTTTTGAATTTAGCAACTCATGAGGGCAGTTTAATTTGCATATGTTGTGTCTCATATAAGAGCTAATCCATATAGTAACTTTACTTTGTGTCAGGAACTTTGTAAGTACTCTGTATATAATTTCACCTAATCCTCACACTAACCCCATGAAGTAGGTGTGATTATTATCCCTCTCTCACAGATGAGGAAATTGAGGCCCAGGAAGTTTAATTAACTTGCTTAAGGCCACCAGTTAAACGACAGAGTTTATTTTCCTGGCCAGACAGTTTGATGCTTAAGATCTGGCTCTTAAGCACAATTTTATAGGATATTATTTGTGCTTATTATCTCTGTAGGAGCCCAAGGCTTGAAAACTGTGCTGCTTCAAGAAATTTCCTAAAGTCTTTGGTCAGGTTAACATATTTGTCTGGCATTAAGAACAACTACTGCTCCTCCTCAGTTATAAAACAAAACAAACCCCCCCTCTTCTATGGACCCTCCCATTCTGGGAACCACACTAAGCCTTTTAAATGTGTTTCCTCCATAAGTCCCTCAACAATGCTTAAATGAAACCCAGTTATCCCTGATCTACAGATAAGGAAACTGACATGCCAAGGTTAAGTAACCTGCTTCAGGTCAGGCAGATTGAAAGTGGCACAATGATATTGAAATCCAATTCTGTCTGACTCTAAAACCTAATCGTTGTTTGCAGTCCATGCTGGAATCAGAACTGAAATCAGAATCAAGGTTTGTGGGGGTTTTTTGATGTACTGTCTTTCATTCTTATCCAAAACAATGGTCAACTGATAGGATTAATCAGAAAATGACTCTGGTTTATGGCTAGGGGGCTCTAGATTTTTTTTTTTCCTTAAGATTTTATTTATTTTTTTGACAGAGAGAGAGATCACAGGTAGGCAGAGAGGCAGGCAGAGAGAGAGGAGGAAGCAGATTCCCCGCCAAGCAGAGAACTCCATGCTGGGCTCGATCCCAGGACCTTGAGATGGTGACCTGAGTAGAAGGCAGAGGCTTAACCCACTGAGCCACCCAGGCACCCCTAGATTTCTTTTTATGAGCATATCCCATTTGAAAGGTACAAGGACCAGGAGAGGATATGAATTACAAATAGGTTTTACTATTTTTAAAAGCAGCTCTAGGAAGATAGTAGAAAGACTTAAATATATAAAGTGAAATAAAATGCTCAAATTATCTGTATTTATTTTATCCATTTGAGCTCTCTATTGCCTACAGTTAAGTATAAGTAAAAATCGAATGCAGCATGGGACACCTTGCTGGCTCAGTCGGTTGGGTGGCTGGCTCTTGATTTCAGCTCAGGTCATGATCTCAGGGTCACAAGATCGAGTCCTGCATTGGGCTCTGTGGTCAGTGTAGAGTCTGCTTGAGAGTCTCTCTCTCCTTCTCCTTCTTCCCCTCCCCCTGCTCACATATGTGCAGTTTCTCATCTGTGCTCTTTCTCTCAAAAATAAATTAACAAATCTTTTTTTTAAGGTTTTATTTATTTATTAGACACACAGAGAGAGAGAGATCACAAATAGGCAGAGAGGCAGGCGGAGAGAGAGGGGGAAGCAGACTTCCCACTGAGCAGAGAGCCCGATGCGGGGCTTGATCCCAGGACCCTGAGATCATGACCCGAGCCAAAAGCAGAGGCTTAACCCACTGAGCCACCCAGGCACCCCAACAAATCTTTTTAAAAAAAGATTGAATGCAGTGTAATAGCTGTAGTGCAGGAGAAATGATTATAAATTGGATTTTTCACAAGATTTGTGATGATCTGAATCTTGGTTTTATACGGGGTCCCTCATAGGGTGCGAGAATCATATCTGGAAATACAGTATGGTGCTCACTGTACTTATTTTTGGTTTGCAGAATGAGGACACCATAAGAAAATGCTACAATCAGCAGTTGGCTGATGCCATAGCTGTTATCAAAGGAATGTACAAGGTGGGTTTTTGGTGCTGTCATGGGTAAGGCCAGCTTCCCACCCTGTGAATACAGAGTGGGGCTCACTGGGGGTTCCCAGTCTGTGTTTTTGGTTTTGAAGATCTGTCTGCCCAGTTTTCAGGTCACTGAAAAGGGATCAGGCCTAAAACTATTCACACTCACATTAAATTGACCAAAATAACACTTTATTGTGACAGGTATCAATTTGCAGAGACTGGAAAATTCCAGTCTGGTGTCTGGGTAAGTGAGGAAGTAAACCGAAGTCTGTTTGGTGAGCATGCGGTTGGATAGAAGGTCAGATAGTCCCAGTGAGTTCATTGCGATTGTTTTAACTCCCCATGAATGGTCTCTTACCCTTGGTGGAGTATCTTTTCTACTGATGAGGATACATCTATCTGCCAGACATGGGACTTCACTTTCCTAAACAATGGGAACATGCATAGTTTTCAATGATTTCCTTTTAGGGTTTGTAGAACCAAGTGCTTCCTTTGCTAACTGTAATCTTGCCTTTCATTTTGTTAAACTTCTGGGCAGAAATACTTTTTAATTATGGCAAAGTGTTCATTGGTTGCATACTTCTTTTCAGAGCATTTATCCCATTTGTATTTAGTTATGTAATTGCCGGTTACATGTTCTGTTCCATGCCAGGCTGTAAGCCTTATGAGGGCAGGGATGTTGTCTGTCTGATTCACAGCTCTGCAATTGTGGGAGTGGGAGAGGGAGAGGGAGAGGGAGAAGCAGGGAGCTCTATGTGGGGTATATCCCAGGACCCTCAGATGAGGACCTGAGCCGAAGGCAGACACTGAACCGACTGAGCCACCCAGCCGCCCCTCCCTGCTTCCTTTCCAGATATGGCGCGAACATAGACAAAGTCAGGTGCCTGACCAGTGTGACCTGAAACTAAGTTGGCTGTGAGGTTTGGGGAGGAGGTTATTCTTTGTCATGTAACAAGCCTTTCAGGAAGAAATATCCTCCTTTCTTTCTTTGACATTGTTGTCTCCTGATGCTTGGAATTGCGGCAGCCAATCTGTAGCCAAGGACTGAGGCACTTCGGACATGCTAAAGGCAGCAGAGCAGAAAGATGGAAAGCACCGGGGTCCTTGAGGAACATCACGGAGCAACTCAATAACTCTGGCCCAGTCCTGCCTCTGGCCCTTTCATTTCATGAGATAATACCCTTCTTCACGTTTAAGCCACCAGTTCAGTAATTTCCAGCTGAAAATATTCCAGAACCTACTGCTGTGACAACAATCTCTGTGACTCGGTGCCAGATGTGTTCCCACAAGGGCGGTGACTCTGTCTTTCTCCCCTGCCACGTTACCTCGCTCCTCTCCCACACCAAGGTGGAGCCTAATTCCCCCTCCTTGAATCGGGGCTGGCCTTGGTGCCTTGCTCCTGGGTATACAAGGGGCCATTGCACCCGTTCAGAGACTAGGTCTAAAGAAGCTTTGCAGCTTCATTCTCATCCTCTTGGAACCTTTGCTTTCTGGATTCACCCTCTCTGAATCCAGCCGCTGTGTTGTGAGAAGCTCAAGCTGTTTGGAGTATCTACCTGTGGGTACTGGGTCCGGAGGCTCAGCTGAGCTCAGCTTTCAAGGCATCCAGCCCCCAGCCATTTTCTTTTTCCATCTGAGGTCCCAGGCATTACAGAGGAGAGACAAGACATCCCCTTGGGCTGGTCTTAATTCCTCGCCCCACGGAGCTCGAGAGCATGATAAACCGTTGTGGTTTTATGGCGCTAAGGTTGGGGAGACGTATCATGCAGCAGTAAATAGACAGCTGGCACGGCTCCCTTGCACTCACATCAATAAGCAACTTCCACATTGCCGTTGTTGGACAGACGACCGCTCTAGTAGTTCTGCCAGGACCCCATGGCATCCGGGTTCGACAGTTACCATCATGCATGCTTTAGAACCAGGACCCTGGCTGGAGTCTGACTACTTGGGTTAGAGTCCTGGCTCGGTCACTTTATCGTTATGTGACCTTAGGCGAAAGATTGAACCTCTCTGCCTCAGTTTTGTCATCTGTCAAATGAGGATCATTATAGTGCCCCCCTCACGGGCTTGTTATGAGGGTGGAATGAGGATGGAATGAACCGATCCCTGTGAAGCACTTACAGTGATGCCTGCAACAAGGTAAGTGCCGTCTGAGTGTCTGCCAACTCAACGAACGTTTCACATGGTTGTGACGCTCCTTGGCGCTGGTCATTTGTTGTGCTCCCTTAATTCTCTTAGTACTTAGACCGGTAGCTTTCTGACCACTGACTGCAGGTATGGGAAAGTGCCCTTAAGAGAGCTATGATAACCGCCTGTATCTGTTACGTTGAACCATAGGAAATTGCCACTTTTGTCTCCCAAAATGCGAAGTATCAGCAATTTCCTATGTTTCAACATAGTAAACATACTTATCTTAATAGATAAAGGCAGCAACAAACTACATAAAATATTAGGCTGTAATATCTTAAAGTAGAAGAAATTCATCTTCAGTTTAACTGAACACATGTTGAGTGAGTACTGCGTGCTTGAGATATGGTGAATACTGACATTACAAAGATGAATGAGAGATGAATAGGGGTGAATTACAAACTTGGCCATGATGTACTTTGTTTATTGCAGAGATAAACATATAAAAGGAGATATGGAAACACCACAAAGGGAGCAGTTAGGTCTGCTTTCATGCTTTGGGAAGGCTTCACAGAGAAGGTGATATTTGTGCTATGCTTTAAAGTAAATTCTCAGTTGGTAGACAAGAAGTACAAAGGGTTTCTAGGTAGACAGCATAGTGTCTGTTAGTCAGGATGTTTTCAGTGGCAAATGATACCTAATTCACACGGACATCAGTTAAAAGAATGTATTGGTTCATGTAACTGTAACGTATAGTGATAGTAAGGACTTCAGGAGAAGCTGGATCTAGGTGCTCAAATAGTCTTATCAAATAATCTTATCTTGTCCATATCCTGCTTCTACTTTCTCTGATGGTTTGATTTCCAGGCAGGTTCTCTTCACATGAGAACAACCTTAGGCAGAGCATCTCTTTCTGAATAGTTCCTACAAGAGTCTCAAGACTGACCCTGACCAATCTGGCCTAGTTATTGTCCCCCACCCTCCACTGCAAGCCAAGCCAGAGTGACATGCCCATCCCAGGAAGTACTATCAAGGAAAGTATTTAACTATATGGAAAAGAGAGGTTTGGGTACCTAAAGGAGTGATGTTGGATAGGCAAAACTTTAGGCAAATTGGCTTCCCACTTATAGTAGCATGTGAAAAGACAAATAGGACCTGGTCAGATTGCTGACTGTTGCACCGCCCCACATGGTAGCCAGTACCCATAGGTGGCTATTAAAATTGAAATTGAGATTAAATTAAAAATTCAGTTCCTGGGTTGCATTAGCCATAGATTTCCCAGCAATATTCTGTGAAACCGAGTAACTTAGGAGAATTCATGAAAGTTTGCACAGGTACATTTGATTTTATTTTATCTTTATGCTTTTATTAATAACCGTGAAAGAGCTATGCTTTATTGACTGCTTTCTTTGTGCAGGGAGTTTAGATATATTGTTTTATTTGGTCTTCACATGAGCAAGTAGCAAGAACCAGGACCCCACCACAATTCCTCAATTTCTAATGTGGCACAGAGAGTGGTGGTAAGAACAAGAGCCACGTTACAGCCGTGTATTCTTACTTGGCGCTCTTGCTAATTATAAGGTGTAAATTATGCCACTATGGAAGTGCCTATGCTATCCAGCTCATCCAAAATGTGGTATCCAGAGATGAAGTCCAAGTATCTTTTGCCTGGTTCAGCCCCATGAAGTAAACATTTGAGGTGGGCAGTAGTATCCTCATTGGCTAACTTAGGAAACTGAGCCAAGGTGACATTAAGCAACTTGCCCAAGACCACAGAGCTGGTCGGTGGTAGAGCTGGGAGTCCAGTTCCCATCTGTTTCTCTACAGTTGTTCCACAGAAAATGGGAAATGCTTGAATTTTCTGAGCAGAAGAAAGAGAGGTGCCTCTGTACCCTTCTAGGTGGATACTCCTGTAAGGGCATTAAAACGCGTTGGGGAAATGGAGACACAGATTTCCCTCTAGGAAGACAGGAACCATGGAGAGTCTCCTCAGTGCCCAGTGCAGTGCTTGGATTTTAATAAATATTTATTGGAGAAAAATAGAAGAAAGAATGAGAAAGAGGGAAGGAAAGAAGATGAGCTACTATCTGTAGTTGAAGGGAGAATGTTGGCTAGTGGAGGGGAGGGACAAAAGGAATGATGTTCTGCCCTAGATTAAAAGAATTTCAAGAGACATCTCACTAAATGCATTATGTGGGGCTAGTTAGGATCCTGCTTTGAACAAACGAACTGTTAGGAAAAAAAAGTTTCGAGATAATTAGAAAAATTTTACTATGGACTAGATATTAAATGATATTAAGAAACTGTTGTTTTTGTTAGTGTGTTGGTGGCAATATGATTACATGAGAAAATAAAGAAACCCTTAGTTATTAGAGATGAACTGGGAAGTAAGTATGTAGGGGTCAAAGACAAGATGTCTAGGATTCCCATAAAAATACACAAGCACAGAATGGGTTGATAACTGTGTAATGGACTATTATAATTTTCTCTACTTTGGTGTATGTTTCATCATAAAAAGTAGACATGTTTGAAAAATGTCCTTTAGTCCTCTTTCTTAGAGTTCAAGATGGAGTCTGAGCTCTCTTGCTTGGTCTATGCCTTCCTGCCCTTTGGTGACCCAGGCCCCCTTGGCTCCCCAGGTTCATTCTGCTGCAGCTTTCAGACCCTCAAACTTACCAAATACATTCCAGCCTTGGGGCTAATCCCTGGAACCCTCTGGTCTCCATCTTCATATTGCAGCTCAAGTGTGCCTCCTCAGGCGTCCTGTTATCACCACCACTCAAGGACAGACCTTGCAGGCCTGTCTGTCCCTATTCCATCACCCCATTCTGTGGCCTTCAGAGCAGTTGTCTAAGATTGTCCTGTGCATGTTTATTT